TGGCACATCGGCTGACACTTCGGCATCACCTTAGCCATGTGCTGTCATCCAAGAAATATTTCCCCATAATTGCCACGTAGGTTCTATTACTTCGGCAATCTGAGGTGATGGAACCTACATCATTTGTCTAATCAACACGTCAGCTCAATCTGAGGTGGGTGTCATCCCCAATATTTTCTTTCTCCCAGTTATTGGCCATCTATTCTCCTTAAGTTATGACAAATGGCGCCAAATTGTGGGTGTTGGTTTCCGACCACACAACTAAAATGGGACACAACTGGAGAGCACTAGCAGAATAGATTAAGTTCAACAACTTATAATAAGAAGATGAGAATCCGGCGGTGGTTCGTCCATTCGGGATTACTTCAACAATCAAGTCAGTAATCAATATCTCTCAAAGATAGAAAATTGGCAGTGGTTCGTTCTCCATGGGGTACTCCAATGATCAAGTCAGTAATCAATATCTCTCAAAGATAGAAAATTGGCAGTGGTTCGTTCTCCATGGGGTACTCCAATGATCAAGTCAGTAATCAATATCTCTCAAAGATAGAAAATTGGCAGTGGTTCGTTCTCCATGGGGTACTCCAATGATCAAGTCAGTAATCAATATCTCTCAAAGATAGAAAATTGGCGGTGATTTATTCTCCAGGAGATACTCCGATGATCAAGTCAGTAATCAATATCTCTCAAAGATAGAAAATTGGCGGTGATTTATTCTCCAGGAGATACTCCGATGATCAAGTCAGTAATCAATATCTCTCAAAGATAGAAAATTGGCGGTGATTTATTCTCCAGGAGATACTCCGATGATCAAGTCAGTAATCAATATCTCTCAAAGATAGAAAATTGGCGGTGATTTATTCTCCAGGAGATACTCCGATGATCAAGTCAGTAATCAATATCTCTCAAAGATAGAAAATTGGCGGTGATTTATTCTCCAGGAGATACTCCGATGATCAAGTCAGTAATCAATATCTCTCAAAGATAGAAAATTGGCGGTGATTTATTCTCCAGGAGATACTCCGATGATCAAGTCAGTAATCAATATCTCTCAAAGATAGAAAATTGGCGGTGATTTATTCTCCAGGAGATACTCCGATGATCAAGTCAGTAATCAATATCTCTCAAAGATAGAAAATTGGCGGTGATTTATTCTCCAGGAGATACTCCGATGATCAAGTCAGTAATCAATATCTCTCAAAGATAGAAAATTGGCGGTGATTTATTCTCCAGGAGATACTCCGATGATCAAGTCAGTAATCAATATCTCTCAAAGATAGAAAATTGGCGGTGATTTATTCTCCAGGAGATACTCCGATGATCAAGTCAGTAATCAATATCTCTCAAAGATAGCAAATTGTGCTTAAACTCACAAGAAAGAACTTACTTTTGACCTACGAGGGTGCCTTACTTTTATATCCAGTAGTGACCCGATCCCTTTAGAAGCCTTACTTCAATGGAGTCAGGCTCAGTGCTCATCCTGGACCTTCAGCTAGAAAGAGATAAACTCTTCTTGAGTCTTATCTTTATCCAGACTGAGATCCTCCCTTGTTCTAGGACTCTTGTCCCTTATCTACTTATCTCAGATTCCGATATCTCCTCAGATAACCTCGACCTAGCCAAGATCATCTCGGCAACGTGACCAAGCCATGTGGCACCTCGGTTGATACTTCGGCATCACCTTAGCCATGTGTTGTCACTCTCAAAATATGTCCCCACAACTGCCTCTTAGGTTCTATTACCTCGGCAATCTGAGGTGATGGAACCTACATCGTTTGTCTAACCAACACGTCAACTCAAAAACAAGAAAGAATTTACCTTTGACCCACGAGGATGCTTTGCATTTATAACTCGCAGTGACCTGATCTCTTTAGAAGCTTTACTTCAATGTACTCAGGCTCAATGCTCATCCTAGGCTGTCAGCTAGATAGAGATAAACTCTTCTAGGGCATTATCTTTATTTAGACCGAGATCCTTCCCTTGTTCTAGGACTTTTGTCCCTTATCTGCTTATTTCAAATTCTGGCATCTCCTTAGATAACCTTGACCTAACCGAGATCATCTCGGCAGTGTGACCAGGCCACGTGGCATCTTGGCTGACACTTCGGTGTCAGCTTGGCCACGTGCTGTCATTCACAAAATACTTCCTTACAACTGCCCCGTAAGTTCTATTACCTCTGCAATCTGAGGTGATGAAACCTACATCGTATGTCTAATCAACACGCCGGCTCAATCTGAGGTTGATGTCGTCCCCAATCTTTTCTTTTTGCCCGTTATTGGCCATCTATTTTCCTTAAGTTCCCACAAACGGCATCAATTTGTGGGTGTTGATTTCTGACCTCAAAACCAAAATGGGAAGTCAGTTGGAGAGCACTGGCAGAATAGATTAAGCACAACAACCTGTAATAAGAAGATGAGAATCTAACGGTGGTTCATCCACCCAGAGGCACTTCAACAATCAAGTCAGTAATCAATATCTCTGAAAGATAGCAGATTGGCATTGGTTCGTCAATTCGAGGGCACTCCGACGATCAAGTTAGTAATCAATATCTCTCAAAGATAGCAAATTTTGCTTAAACTCACAAGAAAGAATTTGCTTTTTACCCACGAGGGTGCCTTGCTTTTATAACCAACAGCGACCTGATTTCTTTATAAGCCTTACTTTAATGGACTCAAGCTCAGTGGTTATCTTGGACCCTCAGCTAAATAGAGATAAACTCTTCTTGAGCCTTATCTTTATTCAGACTGAGATCCTCCATATTTTAGGGCTCTTGTCCCTTATCTGCTTGTCTCAGATTCCGACATCTTCGCAGATAACCTCAGCCTAACCGAGATCATCTCGGCAATGTGTCTAGGTCACGTGGCACCTCGGCTAACACTTCAGCGTCACCTTAGCCACGTGCTGTCATTCACAAAATACTTCCCCACAACTGCCCCCTAGGTTCTATTACCTCAGCAATCTGAGGTGATGGAACCTACATCGTTTGTCTAATCAACACACCGGCTCAATCTAAGGTGGATGTCGTCTCCAATCTTTTCTTCATTCCTGTTATTGGCCATCTATTTTCCTTAAGTTCCCATAGATGGTGCCAAATTGTAGGTGTTGATTTCGGACCACATAACCAAAAGGGGAACTCATCTGGAGAGCACTAGCAAAGTAAATTAAGCCCAACAACCTGTAACGAGAAGATGAGAATCCGGCGGTGGTTCGTCCACCCGAGGGCACTTCAACAAACTCACAAGAAAGAATTTATCTTTGACCCACGAGGGTGCCTTGCTTTTATAACTAGTAGTAACTTGATCCCTTTAAAAGCTTTACTTTAACGGACTCAGGCTCAGTGCTCATCATGGACCTTCAGTTAGATAGAGATAAACTCTTCTTGAGCCTTATCTTTATCCAGACTAAGATCCTCCCATGTTCTAGGACTCTTGTCCCTTATCTGCTTATCTCGGATTCCGGCATCTCTGTAGATAATCTCAGCCTAGCCGATATCATCATGGCAGTGTGATCAGGCCACGTGGCACCTCGGCTGACACTTCGGCGTCACGTTAACCACGTGTTGTCATTCACAAAATATTTTCCCACAACTCCAATGTAACATACTAAAAAATTTCTTAGTATAATTTTCCAAACATAATATCATAACACTCCAAATTTTTCTCAAACGTAACACTTTAATGTAGCACACTTTAATATAATACACAAAAAAAAATTCATTAGTGTACTTTTCTCAAGCATAACACTCCAATATAACCAAAATATATATATATATATATATATATTTAGTGTACTTTCTTCCAAACGTAACATTTCAATTAATATAATCCCAAACGTAACACTTCAATATAACAAACAAAACAAAACAAAACAAAAAAAAAACTCCTTAGTGTATGTTTTTTAATTGTAACACTCCAATCAATGTAATGCCAAATGTAACACTCCATTGTAACATAAAAAAACACTAAAAAACTTCTTAGTGTACTTTTCACAAGTGTACTTTTCACAAGCGTAACATTCATAGTTTGAAATTATACATTTGTCTAAAATTTACTACAAAATTTTTATATTCCTTTTCGAATGGATTGAAGAATCCCACGTCCTTTTTTTGGAATGTTACAATCGGAAAAAACACACTAAGGAGTTTTTTTTAGTGTTACGTTGGAGTGTTACACTATGCAAATTTTCATTTTTTTTTTTTATATAGTATTACGTTTGAAAAAAGTATACTAGAGAGTTTTTTTGAAATCTTACATTGGAGTGTTATACTAAGGAGTTTTTTTTTTTAAATATTACATTTGAGTATTACGTTTGAAAAAATGCACACTAATGAGTTTTTTTGAAATTTTACATTTGCGTGTTACCTTTGGAAAAAAATATACAAAAGAGTTTTTTTTAGAGTGTTACATTTGAGTGTTACAGTAAGGAGTTTTTTTTAGAGTGTTTTATTTGAGTGTTACGTTTAGAAAAAAGTATACTAAGAAGTTTTTTGGAATGTTACGTTTGAGTGTTACATTTTAAATTATACGTTTGCTAAAAACTTATTAATGAGTTTTTGTATTCCTTTTGAAATGTTTAAAGAATCTTATACTTCAAATCATTTGTAATACTTTTGAAATGTTTGAAAAATCTCACAATTCAAGTTATTTCAAATAAAAAAGATTCTCAAATAAAAATTAATCCCAAATTTGACTCCCATAAATTATGTATATTACCTTTCTAACATAAAATGAGGGGGGGGGAAATAGAAATAAAGGTATAATTGTAAATTTAATTTCCAAATGATATATTAAATCTCTTTTTCTAAAATCAATAAGACTAATTAATCTATAAGAAAACTTTTGAGTCAAAATGAATTACCATTCTTAAAGATGGGATTTATAGATAAATTTTTCTAATTTTTTACTCAAATGTTGGATGACATGTAAAATGTGTACTCAACATAAATGAGTGATGCTTTGTAAAGTAAAAAGTTAAATTAGGAAAGGTAGAGACCCTATTGGTACTTTGTTTGAGAAAATTCCATTTCATTGCCTTGGTACATTTACATACCCAAAATAAAAAGCAAAACAAAATTTATATTTACACACACCAATTATTTCGATCATCATCATCACTTCACACAACTTCCTATCTTACACTTGTAACTTGTCGGTGGAAGAACACTACAATCTCTCTCCTCTCTTTCTCACTCAAAATTCTTGTTGAATTACAGAAGCCACAGTTCTAGCCCAATACCTAAGATGTTTCTTCATATCACCCGCTGCAGAGACTCTTGGCAACCTTAAGTTCAGCAATGGCGAGTCGGGTCTTTTAATATCCCATGCTTCGGATAAGTATGGCCTCATTACACTTCTCTTCTCTTCTTCGCCTTCTCTTTCTTCTTCTCCAATTATATCTCTATCATCTTTATCTACTTCTTCATCGCCATTTGCTAGTTCAAGTCTTTGCAATCCAGGCAACACGCTCATCATTTGCGGGCTTAGACTTTCTTTGCTGAATTTGAAACCTAAGTCCATGAACCCTTTTACTTCTTCGAGTTCGAGCTCTAAGAGGCTCTTGCAGCTCATTGTTTTCTGTAACCTCGTCACTGAACGGGAGTATGGTATGATCTTTTTGCGGTGGATTTGATGTAGTAGAGACGATGAGTGTGACCGCGATTTGCATTTCAAGATATCATTCAACCTTGTGGATCTTTTCTTCATTTTTATTTCATTCTCATCCTCCTCCTCATCATCAACATCATCAACGTGTTGGTTGTTGCAGTCATCCTTCATGAGAAGAAGAAGAAGAAGAAACATTAGCTGCCAAAGTGTGTGTATGTGTGTGAGAAAGACAGCACCTCTCTGGTGCAACTTTTTACAGGTTAAAATTTAATAACTAAAACGGAGATTTCTACTTTTTAATAATCAATTTTTTTCAACTTACATAATTTATTTGTGTCTCATGAATGGTAAGTAAAAATAGTACCAAATACTCTAATACTGATTTTCAAAATAACAAAGTAATAAATAATTCCATAAGCTAATACTCTGCACCTTTTTATTTTTTCATTTTCTTCTTTTCTCTTCCTTTGGCCTGTGTTGGTTCCTCTCCAACCTTGTAGTTGTGCTAGCTCATGATTGAGCTTTATGAACTTCCCTCCTTTATTGATGTAATCTCATTTGTAATGTATGTTATTATCACCAATAAAGTTTCCTTTTTGCTGATGAAAAAAAAAATAAAAAAATAAAAAATAAAAAAAAAGCTATACATCAATGAAGGAGAGAGAGGATTGGTTGTTGTTGTTACCTTTGAAGGAGTGATGATAGATGAGGCTGATGATGAGATTTCCTCCTCTAGGAGAGGAAGTTGAGAGAGGTTTGATGAGAGATGTGGAAGTGTTTGTGAAATGGGTTGAAGTGAATTAAGGGTTTTGGGGAAAAGAAGTGAAGTGGGTTCGGCGAAGAGAATGATTTGGTGAAACCAAAGACGATCCATGGTTCCTAGCAATACCATTTGTGGCAATGTTGTCTGCCATGCGGAGGGGGAGGGAGAGAGGAGGGGGAGGGGGGAGATGTTTTTTGGATAAAAAAATAAAAGGGAGAAGATAATATATATCTAAGATGTGAATATGATGTTGTCTCTTGGGGCCAAGGTTTGGGGAAAAAAATCATGCTTATCAATGTTGAGTCATCATCTTTTTATCATTTTATTTATGGTGAGTTACGTTAGATTATTGTTCATGTCATACATAATTTTATTTTTTATCTTATTTTTTTATTATGGGTTTGTTTGGAAGCTTAATTATTTTAGTTATTTTTTTAAAATTTTTTTAACTATTTTAACTTGGTTAAAAAAATTGTGTTTGGAATGACCGTTGATTTTTTTTTATAATTGATTTGATAGTTATGAGAAAAAAAATAAAATAATTATAATTTAAATGTGATATTTTGCAAGAGCAATAGGTAATATTTTAAATATTTTACCTAATAGGATGGAGTTTCAACAGACTAGGCAATAGACATTTTATCTCATCATGTCTTGGAGCATTTTTAAAAGACTTTTTAAATGACGGTTGTTAGTTATTATAACTAGCATTATTATATTTTAGTCACTCCAATAAGTTAGTTATTACAATAGCTATTTTAACAAAATTCTTCAAGTTTATTCCATTTGAAGAGTCTTGAGAGACTTTTTAAACAGTTTGTGTGTATAGATAAGTAAAATAAAGAGTAGCATTAAAGTACATCAATAAAAAAGAAAATAGGCAAAATAAAAAATTACTTTTTAATATTTTAACCAGTAAAAAATGATATGTATGGTTGAAATTGCTCGCTAACTATATTTGGGGAGTTTTGAAGACTAAAGCAAGCAATTTCAGTAATGGGGAAGTTGTTGGTGTACACACTAGGTAAAGTACTTAGCAAAATGCATTTTTTTTTTTTATGTACTTATCTATCTATCTATACTATTATAAAGTGAACACATAATATGGTGTCTTGAAACTTGCTTTACTCTCCTCATGCCATGTGGCAGTCTTCTTTTTTATTTTTTTAAAAAAAAAGTTAAACAAAGAGATGGACAAGGCTTGAACCCATGACCATGGGTTTAAGTATGAAGACTCATACCACTTAAGCTAAGTACACATTATAATATTAATTTCATTATTATTTTCTTTTATTCCTCTTTATTTAATTTGCACACACATCGTGTGTGCCCAACCGCTAGTATTAAGTAAAATGTCCATTAGTATTGCAGTTACTCATTAATAATCGTGTCCTAAAAGTGTTAATCTATGCATTGGTCACCTATTTTACCTTCTTTTCTTTCTTTCTTTTTTATAAATATATATATATATATATAAATTTAAAAAAAAAAAAGAGAGAGAGAAGCCTTGAGATTTTTTAAAGTATAAGTTATTATATTCAATCTTTTACTTTAAAATGATAAAATTAAGATTTAGGGGTTGTTTGAGATGTCCTAAATAAGTGCACTTTTTATTTTTTTTACTAAAAAGTTGAGGAAAAAAATATAAATGTTTGGGTTAACATTTTGACTTTTTATGAAAAAATGTGTATTAAAAAATTGTATAAATAAATGTGTAGGAGAAGATAGGAGATGAGAAAATATTGTCTACTTCTCGAGCTTTGATTGGATGGTATTGTTTGGCCCGTAGGGGCCCACCACGGGTCCCTTTTTTTTAATCGGAACCGTTCAATGTGTAGAACTCATCGAATACTACATGCTCGTAAAAAATCACGTTGATTGGATATCGATAACTATCTAATCGTGTTAATTTTCTTTGTCAACTGTTACCTATAATACCATCCAATTTTTATACAAAACTGAGTTGATCATATAGTTAGCGATATTCAATAGACGTGATTTTTTACAAACATATAGTACTAGACGAGCTCTACATATTGAACGGTTCGGATTATCAAAAAGAGACCCATGATGGGCCCTCACAGGCCCAACTTTACCATGCAAATAAGTAAATGTACACATTATTTTTTGTTTTTCCTTTCATTGCAGGTGGCTGACATGTCCGTTGATGGATTGATCGGATTGAACTTTTATATTTATTTGCCATTTAAATTAATATTTATAAAGTATTTTTTTAATATTTTTTTTAGTAAATAGTGATGATTTTTTAACTTTTTTTAATAATTTTTTGATTTTTTCAAAGATTGCCAAACCAACCCTTAGTACATTATTGCGCATTGATTTTATGTAGAACTTTTTTTTGGCAAGTAAGCAGTGATATTTTTTGAAATATAAGCTATTGTTATGAATCTTTTGCTTTAAAATAAAATTAAACTTTAATACATCATCCTGTATTAATTTGTTATATAGTTTTTTTATTTATATATCATTACTTGAATAGAAGAAAAAAAAAAAAAGGAAAAAGAAGCAATAATAAGATGATATGGGTTGTGGTGGTTGTGAAAGAAGGAAAATGAAAGCAAATAAATACAGAAAGTGGAGCGCGGTCTTTGTACGAGAGTCGATGTGGTCATGAATTGGAGAACCTCTCAAGTCCACAACTTTCACTTGCTTAAAGACCATCTTACCCATGCTAAGGATCAACACAAAATTTTGTGATGTGAATAGTCCAAATTTGATGTTATATCTAACCATGCAGAGCCACAGGAAAAAAAGAAAAGAAAAGTACCTTAGGGGTTGGTGCCAATCCATAACAATAAGCACCACAAATTATAAATTTGCCCATTCTAACCATTTAAACTAATCTCAATTGGTCATGTGTAAATTATTTTTGATGGTGCAAGCTTGAGTCATAAAAAATAGTTCTTGTAATGAAGAGTTAATTATCTATAAGTTTTATTTATAAATGTTATGTTAGTTTAGGTCTTATTTAAGATTTTTTTTTAAAACCAATAAGTCCTATTTAATAAGACTGATAATATTATCAATTTTTTTCAATTTTTAAAATTAAGAATGTTACAATTATGCATAGTAATATTCCAAATAATTATTTCACTAATTGATAAAAAAAGAGAGCATGAGATTAAATGTTTTTACCCTTCTACTTATTAGTTTGATTCATCTATCTAATAAAATCGAGAATATTAAAAGTTTTTTTCAGTTTTAAAATTGAGAATATTATCAATTTTTTCATTTAATTTTTTTTTTTCAGTTTTGCACATCCATGTTCCATCATCATGTTCCTTTATAGATACAAAATTTTCAGTTTTGCACAAAAAAATAATTCAATTTTTTTTTTCAAAAAAAAGCTTCTTTTTTTTTTTTTGGACATAATTTTTTTTTTTTAGTTTTTTCAATTTGAAAGTTGATATTTTAAATTTAAAAAAAATAAAATAAATACCAAATCATCATATTCCTTTATAGATAATTATAAATGATTAACAATCATTATTTAAAGTGCAATTCTTATTATTAAAAATTTAATGAGACTTGAAGGTCCAAAAAATCTTAATTAAGACTTAATAGAGTATAATTTCATTAATTAGAACTTATGTGTAAATGCCTCCTTAAAAAATGAAGCTAAAGTTATTTACATCTCTTATTCCTTTTCAGAACTTGATTTATCAAAAGTTTTATTATAATCACTTAGCCTTCGTTTAAGATGTGAATTGGTTTTTTGACTATTTTAACTTGAGGTTAAAAGATCTTATTTGTGATAGGCTTTTTTAACTTTTGTGAGAGAAAAAATAAAATGATTATACTTTAGATGTGATATTTTGTCTTATTAAGTTAAAAAATATACTTCTTTTTTTTTTTGTGTGTGATTATTTTAACGCAAACTCTATATGCCAAACAAAGCCTTAGCTTAATGACCAAAGTCCGTTATTGATTTCAGTTCCATTCATGCTCTCCCTCCAACGTGCTAAAAACAAAATATATATCAGTTCCGATTTACAGCACTAAATCAGCAATTCTAAAAGCATCACTAATGAGCTGGCAAATGCAAGGAAAAAAAAAAAAGAGCCAAACTATCACATCAATAAGAGAATTCACATGATGTCATGTCATTAATGATACATTAGTGGTGTTAAATTAATGATATAAAACATTTTTCAATATATATATTACAGAGAAGTAAGTTTCTTATCAAGTTTGATACTAGCCAACAAACAATAAGGATTGGTTTGGCAAATGCATTTTTATTTTTTATTTTTCATTTTTAATGAACTTTTCTTAACAAAAATAAATAAATCAAAAAGCTTGTCAATTTAGGTAATATATATTAGGTAAGATTACAATAATAAAAAAATTAAATTTAAAAAGTTCCACACGGAGCCAGGAAATTAAGTTAAAGGGGGCATTTATTAATAATAATTTTATGAGCTAAATTTAAGCATAAGAAATTAAAAATCATTATTAATAGGAACAAATCAAAATTCTATAATAGTGTGTAATAACTTAGTGCGAGATGGTGATGTAAGTTTGTAATTTTAGTGCAAAAATTATGGATCAAAATTCTTAACTTTAGAAAATAAAAACAAATAATTTATAGCACAAATTATTACAAAATCTATTTAATTTTTATTTGACGAAAAATATTAAAAAGATGATATTGCTTATAAATGATGTGTTTTGAATGGAAATTATTAAATGGTCTTAGAGTACATGGCGTTGCCTATGTGATGCTCAAAGTATGAGAAATCACAAATCACACTAAGAAGTTTGTCAACTACCTAAAAATAATGGGTTGATTATATTCAATCCATATAATTTCCCACTACACTATTAGTTTAGACTACTACATAAATCATACCACATAGTGCTCCTAAAGTATCAAATAATTACTTATTGTGAACAATACAATAAATCCTTAGCCAAATAACATGTTGGGAGAAAAAAAAAATGAAGAAGAAGAAGAAGAAAATTACATTTTGCTTATGACCATAAAAACCAAAAAAAAAAAAAAAAGAGTTTAAAATTAAGGGAGGCACGTGACCCTGAGCCTTCTTTGGCTCCGCCCGTGCTAAGGACCCAAAAAAAAAGAGTAAAAATAGTTGGAGTTTTTTTCCTCAAAAAATCTTACATT